AGAGAGATACCATATAAAAGCAAGTCAAAACCAAAGTACCAAAAGAACAAACACTAGGGCAATTGAACAACTGAAGTCAGGAAAAATTTTAACAACTTAAAACAAGGCAAAATTAAAACAGCTAAATTAGTGAGCATTGCAATGAGTATTCATAACATTGTGGAATGGTTAAAAGTATAAGGTTGTAGTTTTGAAGTCTAGACTGGCTAAAAAGTGTCAGGTTGTTTGGGAATGACCAAAATATCATTCATGAATCCACATGCGGGTCATAATAACATTTATGTAAAAGCATACCTCTTTGATTCTTGGTGGTACCATAACACTCTGTGTCATCCTGCGTCCTATTATTATTCATTTAGAAAATAATCTTATGGCTCTTTCTGTCTTCTATTTACTGATGCTTCTGCTGCTGGAGGCCAGAGCAAGCATTGTGTCCCTTCTTTCTGTGGAAGCCTCAATATCAGTTTCTATTTTGGTTAACAAGAGATAATAGATTAATGTTCCAGGATCTTTTATTACATGAACATTAAATGTTCCATTTTAGGTGAATCCAAAGACTAACAAATTCAACTCTCAACTCTCTTCCATGTGAGTCAAAACATTTCAAAAAAGAAAAATTACAAAAGAGAAGCTTCACTGAATTCGAATGAACTAACCATAAAACATTGATTTTGTCAACATTTTAACAGTTAGGGGAGATTTGAAAACATCACTAATTAAGGGCAGCAACCTGGACCAATGGTATAATGACATGTTGGCATGATTGTGTTAGTTTTCCTTACAATTGAACAGAAGGTTGCAAACTGCCCTTGCCAGTTACCTTCCATCTGAAAGCAAACTGATTGTTTCCGTATAATCTGAAGATGAAGATTCAGTTTGATTTGTTTGGTCTCCCACACTCCTTTCTTGTGCCTCTTCAGGAAACAGAACAGGTTTGGGAGGCATTTGCAGCCTTAATCTCGAGTTTTCCTTGAACCATCTCTACAACTTTGTTCATCGAAGGATGATCACTAGGCTTCATCTGTATACACCATAATGCTACTATAATCATTTTCTTTATTATTCTATTTTTTTCCTCCTCTGTCGCATCTCTAATTTCTTCCCCGTCCTTTCCCTTAACAATCGGGTCATAATCACAAAAAGGAGAAGCAAACCTCACTTGAATTTTCTGCTGCTGGATTCGAATTCCTTCTCTTGCAAACCATTTCTATCATCAACATTCCAAAACAATAAGAGTAATGATAAGGAAAATAAAAATTTAAGAT